CTTAATGTGTACACTTTTGTTATTTTTGTTTGTACAAAATAACAGCTCTTGGTTAGTACAGACTGAAACACTTTTTGGGAGGAAATATTTCCTGATTTAGTCATTTAAATTGAAACAAGAAATTATTTTGACCTTTATTGTCATACTTTTGACATAGCATGATTGGAAGTATGCACTACTATTGAGGGCAATGGAGGACAATTTAAAAATACTAATACGTAACAAAACCAAAATGGTAAAATAAAAATGTTCATAACTTTTTTTATGGCACAGGATTCGTTTTGGGGAGAAATTTTTAAAAACTCCAACAAACTATTTCTTGCAAGTCAAACATCAAAAAGTTGATGTTTCAGGTGAAATTAAAGTCTGAATTTATCCTCCCGTTACTTGAACTAAAATTAGAATAAAATTAGAGAGGATATGAAACCTCTTCCATGTGGCATAAACCAACCACTCAGGAGGACCTGCACAGCTCTGTCACTAATTTTTATCCTGGCAAGGAACCCTCTGAGAGAACAACAGAAGGATATAGGCAAAAATTAAGCCTGCTGCTATTCAGTCCAGTTCAGTCCTTTGTAACCCGAATATGTGACCTAGTCCAGGTTAGCTGACTTTAGGCACCTAATGTCTTACTGGACAGAATTCACCGTGACTGTTACGGGTGGCTGACTTATCAACCTCCTCCCTAGGGTCCTTCTGTAGCCCACAGAGACTAAAAGCTTCTTCTGGAAGGTGGCACTGAAAGCTACAGGGAAATGCTTGCATTTCCTGTTGGACCAGGATCTTCCTCACTCTTTGCTGGCTTTGTTGGGAGACCAGGAGGCCATTCTCCCACTGGCCATTAGATGGGTGACTCCAGCTCTTCCTAGTGCTCCTTCCTACTTGGATTGCTTGGTGGCTTAGTTAGGTGCATGAATTAAAGGTCTCCCTGGTTTTGATCCAAAATACTCAGCCCTGTGCCAGAGGAAGCCTTTGTCAGGCAGGCAGAATGAGCTCGCTGGTGGGGAGGTCTGGTGGGCAGTAGCACCGTGGCTGGGGCAGGACAGGAGAAGGGAGAGATGCCCTCTTCCCAGCAATGCTGGGAGACAAGAGGCTCAGCGTGCATTGATGGCACTGGAGTCTGGTGGGATCAGGAGAGGAGGGGAGGGAGGCACGATATGTGACCTAGCAGGAGCTGCACACACGTGTAAAGGAGGTGTCATGAGCTGTGGCCATGGAAAGGCACTGGTGAAGATGAATGTCTGTGTACGCTGAGCTCAGAGGTGATATCCAGCGAGTGGAACAAGTTACTGTGACTGCCCTTCTGGTTTATTTTTGTCTAGGGGAAGACAAGTATTGTCTTTTGTGTGCAGTATGTTTATAACTCAATTTCCCTTCTGACTGATGCCTTGCTCCATGCTCTCTTCTCCTCCTCCATCTGGTTTCTATTGTAGTTTTAAATGAGGACAGTTTGGCTGTCTGGCAGAACAAGCAGGATCTGTGTGACACCAGCTGCCTCTTCCAAATTCTAAACCTCCAGCACAGTTTTAATTATAGAAGTGTCAAGATTGGACACCTCCCCACCCACCCCTTTCTACGCCCGTGCGCACATGCACAGCCCCTGCTACAATCCCCATCCGTGCCCGATCTTCCATCAGGAGGGACGCGGCTCTGTGATTTACGTGTGCCCTGTGATGCCGATACAATCCTGTTGTAAAGCACATGCTGGAGTCTGTGCCTCCCTGCATTCAGGCTTGATCACAGCCTTTGTTTTGGTCCATCAGGAACCACATCTGAAATAATTCAAACCACCTCAGAAATAATTCAAACCGCCTCGGAAGCGCCTGGCAGTGGGAGGGAGCTGCTCACTGCTGCTTTAGCCTCACCTCCCCCAAGTGCCCAAAAAGCTCAGCTTTGTAGGGGATCAGCGCTGCTCAGGAATTTCAGAGCTGCAGGTTCTGCTCAAAGAAAACATTTAATGTGCTCCAGTTTCATACAAGCGCTGCATTTAGGGGCTTGCTTTGCAGGAAGCTGATGCAGTCCCTTCACCTCAAGGGATCTGAGGTCAAAGTCTGTAATTTTTGGTTGCAAGTGAAATGTGTCCTATGTGGGATTGGGTTTTTTTGACATCACAAAACCGCTACACATTTTGGGTAACTGGCTGTTTCTCTTCATAAGAGCCAACGACCTGGTATGGCAGGAAGTCATGTACATGATGAGTGAAGGGCACTGGCAGAGATATGCGAGAAGCCCAGGGCTGGAAAAGCAGGGAAGATGGCAGGGCTGGAGTAACGGATACTGGCAGAGCTCAGTGCATGTTGTCTGCAGTCTATGGGTTGTCTCTACTGTGGAGTCTTCACCCACTTTTAAAAACAGGTTGAATTTTATCCATTTGCTATGGATTATTCCCCTCAAGCCCCTTTTTTTGCTTACCAGTCCTCAAGAGATGGATCTAGCCCTCTCTGGGTTGTGTATAAGAGGTTTGCTTATCTGCCTGAGGCCTCTTGACCTAATTTATCACAAAGAAAGGTAAAAATCAGCAGAAAGATAGTGTGATTTAATAGATCTTACTTTCAAGAGGTCAGCTTGTCACAACAAACATCAGCACAAGCATTTTTAGTTGGTGTGCTTATTCTTAACACTGAGGTTTTAAAAAGTGTGTAATAAAGGGCACCATGGGCATGGACCCCATTTTTGTGGCAGCTAGGCACCATCATCTGAAGTTTGTAGGAAAGACCATTTAATTTTGGAACAAACCTCATCATGTGGGTCTCCTGGACAAAAAGGTTTGCTGTTCAATTCATTCTTTTTTTCCAGGTAGCATGGAGTGGTTCACTTACTCTCCCACCTAAATAGGTCTGAAGTGAACTTGGATCTGCCTAGCTTTCATCTTTGCTCTTTACATTAGGTTTATTCCCAGAGACCCCTACCAAGAAGGAAATCTTAATATGCTGTGTATGCATAGATCCTGCTGCAAAGATGGTACAGCCTGACCAGCCAGAAATGAAGAAGCAGCCCAAAGTGCCTTTCCTTTTTTTTTATTTCTAGCGTGCTCATCATCATATGATCTGAGGAGATCATATGATCATATGATCTACTGCAGTTACAGATAACCAGGTCTTACTCAGAAATCGGAAGGTCCTATTTCTTGATGTGTCACTTGGGCCTTTCTTGGCAGGCTTTTAAGGGAAGTTCATACTTGTACTCTGTCTCCTTCTGCATCATCTAATCCTCTTAGGAAGTAGGTGCTGTGGGCACTGAAAAGAATGCTTCTCATGTTCCTTCTGGAAGGCGCTGAGGTGCCTTCTCCTCCAAAGTCCTTGAGGAGAGAATCCTATAACCCTGTGACTTCTGTGGATGAAGCTTTGACTCTGTAGATGTTATCTGTTCTCTTGGTGTTTTCATGGTTTCCCATGAACATTGCTGTTATGTTAGGGCCCCTGCCAAAAGCTCCACTCTTAGTCTTAGCCCAACAACTTGAGGGTCTTAAAAATCTGCCCGAGGGCTTTGAGTGTGACACAGCACGATTAGTGGACCTGCATTCTGGTTCCCTGCTCCAAAAACCACAAAGTCAGATTTTCCCCATTGTTCCTTTAACTGAGGAGAATTAATCTGTTTGCATCATTCAGGTTTCCAAGTAATCACTGACACTTTGTGTATTTGGGCTGGCCAAAAGAGAAGGGTCAGGGCACACAAGAAGGACCTCTTTACTTCCCTTGGTAGGAGTCAGGAGGCAGAAGGGTAGCACTTCCCTGACCACCTGGGCTCAGTAATAGTGAGGTGGGCACGAGTTTGGGAGACTTCCTCACCAGGGCCTGTGCCACCCGTGAGCTAGTCCACCCGTGAGCTGTCTCTGGCCTCAGTGGCACCCTTGAGAAATAGTTATGTACCAGCTGGTTTTTGTTCAGGCTGTCCTTGGAGCGCTGTCTTTGGATACCACCTCACGAAGCGTGTGTTAATATATCGTTATGGTCCTGAACTTTGAGCAGAAGAGCCCAGGGAAGGTCCAGCCAGAGGCATTATCTCTGTGGTGTTGCAAAGAGGCAGTAATTGCTATGCCTGGCTTTCCAGTCAAATGTGTGGCTTAGTCTGTTTTCTTCCGTACAGCTTTCTGAATGTGCAGTGCAGCAGAGTCAGCATTACTGCAGGGAACGTTAACTTCTGCGTTTACTGACTCTTGTGCTTATGACTGCATGAAGCATTGCGTTAACACACAGTAGTTTCTAGCACCTAATAAGGAAGAGCTCTCTTACTGTTATTGTTATAGCTGTGGTTGTTATAGTAGTGGGGACAGGGAAGCTTGGACTGACCAAAAGGATGAGGGTTTCCTATACCTATAAAATGGGGGAAAATTAAACATATGCTTTGAGTCCAGGTCTTGATGTAAATGTTGTGCCTCAGGCTCCTCTCAGCTTTAAGTCTGGTTAAGTCTTTGGCTGATTATGTGGATGGAGCTCTGTTGAAGCCAACGTCAGATTTTGTCAGTGTGCAGATCTAGTCAATATTTGAACTTCATACCCCCTCTGGGGGAGTTTATGAGCAGCAAACTGTGGATATGTAGGCTTATATGGAAGTGCGAATGCCTCTCTGATTTTTATCCGAGCCAATCAGACCTTTTGGCACAATTCAGTGAGGCTGGAGCTCTATCTTGGGGAGGGGGGAGGTTCCCAGGACCTCATGCTTTACCTCATGCTTTCAATTAGAATGAAATTGCTTCTTTTTCTGGAAAGAAAAGAAAAAAGAGAGAAAAACTCTACCTTTCTTCGCAGAAGGTTTCTGTGACTTCAGGGTCAGTCGTTGTCATATATCAATGAGCTTGGCATGGCACAACTATAGCATATCCTCACTTTGCAAATTGCCTACAGCCACTTCTTGGGTTTATTTTTGGTTTGCCCTATATTTCTACCTTTCCCTGTACCTGCAGAGAGCCTCTGCTGTTGTTTCGTGAAACTGTCTCCTCTGTGGTGACTCGTGGAAGTTCTCAGTGTGTATTTATTGGGCATCTTGCTTTCCTCTCCTAGTCCCCTACGTGCTGAAGAGCTGTGCGGAGTTCATTGAGACCCATGGCATTGTGGATGGGATCTACCGTCTCTCAGGAGTGACATCCAACATACAAAAGCTGAGGTAAGGGCAATCTGCCCGAGTGACGGAGGGCGTGGTGACATTACTCCTTACCTTTTCCCTATTCACAGGGCATAGTCTGGGGGCAACAGAGCTCTACACTGATGCAGAGGATAAACTGTCTCTGAAGCTGGTAACAGGAAAATACAGAATTTCAGGGATTAGTCCATGACAAAATAAAAAATTCTTTCCCTCTGCATCTATTAACGGGAAAGGCCTGGAGGGCCTCAGCACAAATGCTGAGTTGTTCCCTTTTACTACAGGACAAAGCAATCTCTTTATATCATCTTGTGGTCCACTCGACGTACTATGGTAGAGAGAGCAGAGACCAGTTGAAACCTCAGGGCCTGATCCTGGGACACAATCTGAGCCAGGCTGCAGAGACGTCTCTGCTTTCCAGTTTGTTTTTTCTTCTAGCTGTAAAAGAGTACTTAGGGTGGAGTTCTGGGATACTACAGCTCTTATCTGCTGCCACTGCTACGTTTCTATATTGTTTCAGACAAGAGTTTGTTTCTGACCAATGCCCGGATCTGACAAGGGAAGTTTACCTCCAGGACATCCACTGCGTGGGGTCGCTCTGCAAGCTCTACTTCAGGGAACTACCCAACCCTCTCCTCACTTATGAGCTCTACAAGAAGTTCACGGTGAGACCCTTTGCTGCTCTCTTTCCTCTCCAGCAGCGTGGATGTGCTGCAGGTCCCTCCGTGACAGCTGTTTGGGATTCACTCCAACGTCCTGGCTTCTGGTGCATCTAGCTGCATAAACATTTCTCAGTGCTCTTCCCTTCTTCTCTTGTGCTGGCTGTCTTTCCCTGTCCTTGCTTCTTTCCTCCATTTCATGTTTATTCCTCTCAGTTTCTCTGTTTTTTCCTTCCTGTCATCTTGCTCATTTTTTACCGCATTGCTTCCTTGCTGTTATTCTTTCTCCCCACTGTGCGCCTCCTCCCAGAATTAATAATTCTCTTTCTTTTCCTCATTACTGTCCATCACTGAGAGTCTTCTGGGTCATGCAGGGCTTGTGATCATAATCACAAGGGAGCGGTTCCCTCCTCCCTGTCCCTCTGACAGGCCCTGACACCTGCGCAAACTGAATGCTCAGCCCGTGTGTAAAGCACCAACTTTTCTGCATCTGTAGCATTTTTCACACAGTTTGGGAGAGAGCAAATGATGACACGGGTTGTGCTAGCTACGGCATATCGGGTCCTTCATGATCATGTCAGAAATACAAATGGCAGAGGAAAGTGGCACCTGGCCAAGCAGAAATCTCCAACCTTCTTTAAGAGGATTATAACTCAAAGAGTAGTAACTCGATTCTGCAAAACAACCATGGACTGTACATGGATACAGTTGGAGCCTAGGAGCAGACTGCAGGGGAGCAAAAAAATAAGACAAAAAAGCCTGAATTTTTTAGAGAGTTGGCTAATTTTGATGACAGATAAGGTTTTGTTAAAAGGTGTCAGCCATCTATGCTTGTTGTTAAGGTTGCCTGCTTCTTACCTCTCTAAATCCACTTTGAGTTGTTTATGACGCCAACAAATTTAAATCTGGTCATTCAAGCTGAAATCTTAGGTGCCAGAGGTGTGAATTTTCAGCTAAAAGCATTCACCAGCTTCTTAACTGGGGTGGGAGGTTGTGAAGGATTGTTTCCTCAGTGATAGAAACATCCATCCTTTGTTAAGAATTTCTGTCATCCTACTATTTCTCATTTGCTGGGAAGTGGAGGGGACAGACATATTGCCAAAAATGTCAGATGTTGCAGAGAAGTTTTGCAAAATCGTGTCCGAATGAAACGGGAGGTGGCAAGCAACCTTAGCTTCAGGTGTTGCCTTGCCTCTGTCCTGAATCAAGCCCCTCCAAGTGGCACTGCTATGGCACAGGAGGCACGAGAGGGACCAGCAGAAGTTGTTCTCCAAAGCCTCTCTGTTGCTCATGGTGGGAAGAGACAATATTCTCAGCCAATCCGAAAAATCGACCTATATCCACAGGATGTAGGATGGGATTTCTAAACTAGACAGTCAGGATGAATAGGACCTTGAAAATGCAGAGTATTATTTGACCATTCACAGTAACTGATGAGTCTCATTCTTGCTGAAGCTATTTTGCTGGTGTCTTTCTGGCTATCAGTACTGATTTATGAAAGAAAAATGCTGTAGGGGAAACAGGAAGATTTAGATGGAAACTTTTTTAGGAAAGAATGTTTTGCTGAAAAGTGCAGTTTTGGGATGATGACTTGCAGTTTTTTTTAGATACATTTGGTAAATAGTTTTATTCAAAAACAAAAATGAAAACGCTTCTGTAACTGTCTAAATGTTTCTTTTACACATACTTTCTAAAGGAAATGTTTCAACATTAAATCAACACATCTAACTCGTAAATAAAACATTTTTCAGAAGAGGGTTAAACAAGCACAAATTTAAATGATAATTTCACTTTTGTTTGAGTGTGATGCTTTGATCAACCTTGAACAACTGTTTTTTAAAATCTTCTGCCAGCTCCCCAAAATGTTATCACTTTGGATTGACCTAAAAGGGATTTCTATTTTTTTTTTCCGGCTTTTCAGTTTGTCCGCTCAGCCACAAAATCCATTATTCGCGTAAGTCTACTCAGTAGGGATTTATAATGGGTAACCCAGCTGACAGGAAGCACACTCAGATACCAGGAGGAAAGAAAGAAAGCAAGACTGATTCCCCAAGGAGCAGAAAAGCTGCTAGGAGCGTGTGTATGCGTGGGGTGTCTGGTCAGGGAACGGTGGCAGCTGTGCCTCGGCAGAAGAGCACTGGTAGGAGTAAAGGATGCGTGCTAATCCCAGCCTGACTCAGTCGGAGATGTGTCTGAGATGGGATAGGCTCCACTTTGAGTCACCAGAGTGATTCAGACATTTGCGGCTAAGGAAAGTCAAATTCTTAATGACTAGGGAAGGGTTGGCGCTTTGGTCATTACTATCTCAAGTGCAGGGATGTAACATCCCAGTCATGACCTCACTGGCTGTCAAGTTCTGCAAAATGATGCGCCCTCATGCTCTCACTTTGCCATTTGGCATTCTGGTGATGGATGCTCGTTTCATGGCACAGATAACTTGAATCTGCTTGGCTGTTTCCAACGTGGGCTTAGAGGCATGGAGTACTCCCTTAGAGCAAATCAGCTGTAGGATGCCAAGCCTACCTTTTCTCTCAGGACTCCACTTGTTAACCAGGCCTTGTGAATTGTGTGCTCCCAGAATCACCAGCGGAGTAAAAAAAAAAAATCCAAGATTTTTAATTGTGTTTTACATCCCTTCTACTGTCCTTTGAGTGTTCTCTTCCCATTTGTGAGGTGAAAATTGAAATTACATGAATTCATTCATTAACAGACATATAATAAATGGAGCTATTGGTTCTTCCTTTAATTCTGTATTCTGCTGCTGTAATCCAGAATTTTGGGGAGGGCCTCAGATTTCAAAGGCACAACAGGTATGGGTCAGAAATGTGGCTTAGAGGTTTGAATGGGTCATGACCTCAGAGACGCTGGTATTCACTTGCTGTCAAAGCATTAGGTCTTTGAGACCTGGAAGTTAAGTGTGAGTATGAAAAACAGCACTGGGGAAGAAAACACCGTGTACAATCTAGCTGAAACCTGATGTTTCAGATGCACTAAAGTCTGTATTTCTGTCCTCCAACTTTGGACAAGGCCATTCACCTGGAAAACTTGTATGAAGATCATAGAGTCATAGAATGGTTTGGGTTGGAAAGGACCATAAAAATCATCTAGTTCCAACCCCCCTGCCATGGGCAGGGACACCTTCCACTAGACCAGGTTGCTCCAAGCCTCATCCAGCCTGGCCTTGAACACTTCCAGGGATGGGACATCCACAGCTTCTCTGGGTAACCTGTGCCAGTGCCTCACCACCCTCTCCAGGAAGCATGTCTTCCTGATATCCAATCTAAACTTCCCCACTTTCAATTTAAACCCGTTACCCCTTGTCCTGTCACTACAGGCCCTTGTAAAAAGTCCCCCCCCAGCTTCCTTGTAGCCCCTTCAGGTACTGGAAGGTGCTATAAGGTCTCCCCGGAGCCTTCTCTTCTCCAGGCTGAACAAGCCCAACTCTCTCAGCCTGTCCGTGTTAGCAGAGGGGCTCCAGCCCTCTGAGCATCTCCGTGGCCTCCTCTGGACTCGCTCCAAGTGGTCAATATCCTGCTGATGTTGGGGGCTCCACAGCTGGACGCAGCACTCCCGGTGGGGTCTCACCAGAGCAGAGTACAGGGGGAGAATCCCCTCCCTCGACCTGCTGGCCACGCTGCTCTGGATACAGCCCAGGATACGGTTGGCTTTCTGGGCTGCCAGCGCACACTGCTGGTTCATGTCCAGCTTTTCATCCCCCAGTACCCCAAGTCCCTCTCCTCAGGGCTGCTCTCCATCCATTCTCTGCCCAGCCTGTCCTTGTGCTTGGTCACAGAGTTCTTATACTTAGGATTTCTGGGTAAAAAGTACTAGGAAGGCGTTAACCTAGCTTTAATTTGGGCAAAACAAGTGCATCCACATCTCATGTACACCGAAGTAGTGAGCTCACTTGTTTTTCTCTGCAGTCACACCAGTGAGTAAGTTCAAGCTAGAGGGCATAGATCTCACTACACAGTGTTAAAAAAACATGATTCATAATCATCTCTGCCCTTCAGCCTGGCAATGTTTGGTTTGCTGGTGGCTGTACGTGGGAAGTGGTCTGTGGGGAAAAAGACAGTGACCAGAACAGAGGTGACAGCATTACCAGTGTGTGTGTAGTAGTGACTGCAAGGCCAAGAAGATGCTTCTGTAGTTGTGGCTGGTAATTTCAGGCTCGTAACGTTTAAGCGACGGGTGGTTTGGGACGGGTTATTTCCTTCCTTTCCTAGCAGTGCTGACGTATGTCTGTAGGCAAAGGTTCTGCTGGCAGCGTGGGTCCCAGCATCTTTCTTTGAACTTGCTCCAAGCTCCAGTGGCAGTAGGGTGGGCAGGAGGTTCCCAGACAGTCATGTATTGTTCGAACTCGCTGGCGGTTTGTCCTTCCCCAGCACCAATATTGAAAGGGCATAGCTGAACAGATGAATACCAGTGTAGTAAACTCCTAGGAATGCAGACAAAAGCTCGTCGTGGCTAAGCTCTTGGTCTGCAGACACTTGCTCAAGACCAAGATGTATATCCTTCATTCTAATCTAACCCTGATTATAAGAATTTATTAATCTACCTGGACAGTGATTTTGCTAAGGCTTCTCCCGCATAAAAGATGCAAACTTACACAAACCACTCCCTATAGCCGTCTTCATAAGGCAGCCAAAAATATTGCATATTTTAATGAATATGGAACACATACATCCCAGCTGTTTCTGTAACACAGGGCTTGAATTATCTATTTTGGGGGGGGATGAGTCACTATTTTTCATTTTTTCAGTATTTTCACTTCTGTCTTTGCCTCTCTTTCTATTCTGCCCCTCATTTCACAAGTTAAAAAACAGAAAAAGAAAAAAAGAAAAGGAACATAACTCCTAATTAAAGCTCTCAGTCCTCAAAAACCCCCCTCTCCCCAAATCATTGACCACCCTGTTCCAGCGTGTGGGAAGGGTATACTGAGACATAAAATCACAGCGCACCAAATCTCTGCTGTGCTGGGAACTCAAAGCAACTCATTCTACCAGTAGCTCTGTAAAGGGAACATGAGAACATTCCCTCTGAGTCAGGCTGTCTCCTGTGACCCTCCTTATCCCTCTTCCTCTCCCCTTGAGTCGATTGCCAGGGTGGACTGTTTCCTTGTATCTCCGCAGGAAGCAGTATCACGCTTCCCCGAGGATGAGCAGTTGGCACGAATTCAAAATGTCATCCAGGAGCTCCCCCCGTCGCATTACAGGTGAGAACGCATACACTGAGGTGCTGAGGAACAGTGTGGTGACCTTCACCCACAGCGAATATTGCCTGAAACAGAGCTGCTTTTGTTCCAGAAGTTAATTCCCAAAAGCTGACTCCCCACTTCCAAATATGACAACAATTCGTCTGGCATTTAAATATCATTGAACAAACCATGGTTAGAGACTGAAGAGGCTCTCCCTGCCACAGTCGATCATCCTCCTTGCCCGGGTGCTACCCCCATGGCACCCTTGGCCACGGACCTGGGTGCAGTGAGGAGAAGATGACCTGCTGGAGGCACTTGAGTGAGAGCTAAGCCCTCAGCCTTTGCAGCATCCCACTCCCTCTCCCATCCCTCTGCCATCTTCCTCACACCCCTTACACTAAGGATTGTTTGGTTCGTGCTCATCCTTGGCCGCCCCAGAGCATGGTTGTTCAGGTGTACGCTGCCATGCCGTGTACATGCTAGTGCTCTAAAACCTCTGCCCCACAGGGCCTGGGGTGACTGCAGACGCTGCCCTCCTTGAGGACAAGGGAAGAGGCCAGGGCTGAGCCTGAGCCCTGTTGTCCCAGTGGGCAGGCATCCGTCATTTGACACTTTTTTCTCTCTTCATGTGAAATCACGGCAGAACACTGGAATACCTGATCAAGCACCTGACTCACCTGGCCTCCTTCAGCAACATGACCAACATGCACACCAGAAACCTGGCCTTGGTGTGGGCTCCCAATCTCCTCAGGTACAGTAGACAGTCCTCTAATCCAGAGACCAGTGCTGAGCTCCAAGGGGAGCGCCAGCAGCTCAGCCTGGAGGCCCATCCCTTGAGGGAAATGCAAAGACAGGGAAAAACAGAATGGCTGAAGGGAACAGTATAGCAAAACGAGCAGCTTTTAAAAGGAGAAAAAAATTCTTCCAGGTTGAATAATCTGAGGTCTTACTGCCAGCAGCCAAGAAAGTTTGTGGTTTTGTGTGTTTCTTATAAAAAAAAGCTGTTATTTTCAAGTTGAGTACATTGATTTAAAAATGAGGAGTTAGCTCATGACTGTGGAACGGAAATGACATTTCTGACAGTGCCAGTGCTTCTGCAGTGGGGTGGTGAGGGAAAGCAAGGCTTGGAAGGGAGTGCCACAGGGCAATAAGATCGGCTTGAACGTGAGATGAGCTTGGTGGGCTTAAGGAGGCAGCTAGTGTCAGATCTCAAGACCACCAGCTACTTCATCACGTTTGCTATGCCTGGCTCTCTGCTGGGAAGAGGCCTGGAAAAGGTGCAGGCAGAGCTTTGGCTGATATGTTGTCGAGTTCAGCAGAACAAGTAAAAATATTAACTGGGGGGGGGTGGGGGTGTGTGTTAGGCCAGGGAAGAGATATTTTCCATCTTTTTGAAATTCCCTTCCCTGTCCATCCCATGCCCATGTGTTGGTCTATGAATGGTCTATGCAGGGAAATTCCAGGACTGCAGCTGGGCAGAAGGCTGCAGAGGAGAGGATGGGGGGATGTTGGCTAGAGAGGTACAGGCCTGAAACTCATTTTCTAAAGAGTTATCTCACCCTTTTAAATCACAACACAGTCAGAGCAGGCTCTGAAAATGAATCAAATGTTGACTCTATTGAATATCACAAAGTGGACCTTTACTACTGAGATATTTTCATTCTAGCATCTGTCCTTGTCAAAAAACCTGAAGCCTGTTTCTTTTTGCAATCTTTTGTAAGTGCAAGTCCCAGGGAGGGTAAGAAAGGAGCAAACAATGCAACGGCAGTCTCCTTACGGGGTTATCCTCTTGGCGATGCCCCAAGCTATTATCTAACACACCAGTCATTAACTTTACAAAGGATCCATTGCCCGGAGATAATTTCTTCAGCAACACTTTGGCATGTCAAGATAAGGAATGTTTCTTTGCTGAAAGCAAGAGTGAGAATGTGGGAGTGCAGGCGGGCAGAGAAGAGACTACTAGGGCACACGCAAAGGATTGAAAGAATCGGCGTGTGGAAGACCTGAGCAGGGTTCCAAGGGATTTCACTGGGCGCTGATTGAAGCATTGAGTAGGATCTGGAAGCAGTGTTTGAAGGCTCCTGCATTGTCTGCAGGCCCAACTTCAAAATAGGTAAAAGAGGAGCATAGAGAGAGAAGAGTGGAGTATGAGAGTCAGAGTTTTATCTGCTGCTGAAGAATGTAGAAGTGAAGTAGGGAAAATAACACAGGCAGGACAGAAAGCAGTGGAGGTGACAGAGAAAAAGGATACAATTTTTAAAAGAGTGAGAAGGCCAGGAGGATGGAGGCCTGTGAGGGAAGGGCAAAAGCTGCAGCAAGAGTGGGGAAAAACATCTCTGCTCCAAGTCTTGCAGGAAGAAAGCTGATCTGTCCTTCCCAGGGGCTGTGTGTGGCAGTGCTGGCTACTAGTGTACCCCTTTCCTGGTGCAGGTCGAAGGAGATTGAGGCGGTTGGCTGCAATGGGGATGCAGCTTTCCTGGAGGTGCGAGTGCAGCAGCTGGTGATTGAGTTCATCCTGAATCACGTGGATCAGATCTTCAGCAACAACAGAAAAGCCAGCTGTGCGGAGAACATTGGTAACAACCTCCCTGAACCACTTGCTATGTACTCCAGCTCTAACTGTATCCCCTCCCACTAATATTTCAATCACATCAACCCTCACTGTGCTCACAGACTCCTGTAAACAAACCTTGAACCCAATCCTTTGTTCCTCGTCCTCTTCATCCCCATCTCCAACATTTTCATTCCGAACACCAGCTTCCTTCAGTGTGCTCCCAGATTGCCCTATGGCTCATTTTTTGCATGATCTCACTTGGCTTAACCTTTCTGCAAAAGGAAGACCACCTCATTGCTTCTCAATCCCAGCCTAAGCTTTCCCTCTGAGCCCATCAGCCACATCTCAATCCTTCTCAGGCTCCCCCCGTTGCAATTCCTCATACCAATGACACCTGCCCTGCAGCCATCATACCCACCCAAGTAAGAGGCCACGCTCCTAACATAAAACTTAAGCTTGTGTTCTAAAACCTCATGTTTTGTACTTCTGGATGTTTTATAAAAAAATATATATTTTTCTTGGAACATCAACAGTCTTGGGAGATGCTGATTTTTGTTATTTAGTGACAGGTTTCTTGTCAAAAGCTTGGGAAGTGAGAGGACTTGGATCCACAGTGACCTTGCCGAATTTCAGAAATAAGCATTGTTCTGGTTTACACACAGGGGAGACTCATAATACCTGCAGAAGCGAGGGGGTAACCTTTCTGCTTTCTAGCCCTGTGTCAGCTTGTCCCGTCCACTTTTCCCTTAACATGTGACATTCCCTGCTAGTCTGTCCTTGGAGCCCACAGGTCCAGTGCAGTGCCCTGCCCGACCTGTAGCAGCCCTGCCTGCCAGCGCGGGTGCCATTCCTATGCCCTAGCAGAAGGCACAGAATAAGAAACTGCTCCTCTACTGCCCTAAGAACTGCAGCAAAACACCGGCTAGTAAATTCCTACTTGTACTGCAGGTCACTGGCCCAAACCCGACCCAAGTTTTGTACGTGCTGAACACTTCTGGCCTTTAACAGGTATTTATGGAATCAGGAGAAGAACATGCTGATGGTTCCACTTGATTTCTTAGTGGGAAAGCACACCTTCACTCGGCCCCTCTGCACAGGCAGGGGCTTGCACGCTGCTACAGCAGAAGGGCTGAGTACCTCACGGACTGCAGAGACTGCTGCCTTCACACATGCCGAGGAGGTCTGTTTAGGACAGGGCTGTTGGTGGGGAGACATACCGGAAGTTGGCTTTACCACTGATCATGTAATCAGAGACCTTCAGTTTTTCAGGGCTGTTGGTCACAAAAAGTCCTGAAACGCATTAGGAAGGCAAAGTAATGCTGGTTTTTAGAACAGTCGCCTTTCCTGGAACAAGACAAGGAGAAAGATGTGGAAGTGAGACAAAAGAATTAGGCACCAGATCAGCATTAGGGACAAAACTGGAGGAAGGAAGGGAGGGAAGGAAGGAAAAAGGGAAGGAGAGAGGAGAAAGGGAAATGTGTGAATCCTGGTGGTTTTCAGAGACACCTCTTTTACACTGAAACATCTACAGCAGAGGCAGCAAGTCTGTGCAATGCTGCTTTTGGCTGGCAAGTGTGGCCCCTGCTGGGAATTTACTCAGAGGGATAAGGTTGCTGGTGAGATGGAAGACTTACCTGACAAAAAGCCTCAGTGCTGCTCCTTTCCCCTCTCTGCAGGAGATGTTCCAGTCAAAGACATGGAGCTCTTGCTCTCGTCTCTCCTCACCCCAGGTTGGAATGTGTTTTCTTGCTTTTCAGAGAGCACATCGGTTGTGAAGAGCCTGACCCTCCCCTCGGCCTCCCTGCCAATGAAACTGGTGAGCCTGGAAGAAGCGCAGGCACGGAGTCTGTCTGCCTCCCACCCTGCTCGGAAGGAGAGAAGAGAGAACAGCTTGCCTGAAATTGTCCCTGTAACCGGGTCCCTCTTCCACACAGTTGTTGACCTCCCTGACAGCAAGTAAGTGCCAAGAGGAGTGTAAAGTGCAAACGAAAAAGTGCAGGTTCCCCAGCATGATCGGAAATGAGGCTTTTGTTAGCGTGGTACCCCCGCACCTGCCCACATGAAGCTACAGCACCATCGAGAGAACACTGTGTGCCCTTCCCAAAAGGGGCACATCCTGAGAAGCTGTGGGGTTGTTGGGTTCATAGCGCCACTAGTCCTCACCCCTCCACCAGGACAGAACCTCACAGACCTCCTGCAGAGGGGTTTAATTGTCTTTGCATCCTTGTGTCAGCTCAGGATTTGGCTAAACATGAGCTGAATGTGGAGCAGTTCTGGACGCAGCTCTCCGATGAGTTCCACCTGCTGGCAGCTGGTCCACGGCATGCCTGGTGGCATGACCTGCTCACCTTCAGCATTCTCCAGGCTCCTCCGCCCTCACAGATAGCCAAGCAGCCAGCCTAGCTGTCACTCCTAGCTTGGATATTTACATAGTGGCACCTAAGCCACCTACGCCCCTGCCAGGAGAAGAGTCTGATTTCAGCTGAGGTTGCCACAGTTGTTGGCCATCACTGCTGCAGCATAAGTATTTATCTATTGGTCTATCTATTTCTTAATATATGGCCACGCTACGGCCTGGTTCTGAGAGATTATAGTCTTTCCAGCAGGAAGCTCTTTAATCTACTGACCCATAAAGCATCACAGCAAAGATACTTATTTGCAGTTGATATATTAAAGCAAAAAGGAGCAATCTAACAGAATACTGGCAAGAGGATAACTATCTTAAGAAAAAGGGTATATTGCCCCTCTAGAGTGCCTTTTCCTTTCTCACTTGAAGGGAACAATACTATCCCCAAGGTATTTATGCTCTTTGTAGGTCTGATTTGTGCTTTTCTGAATAGTGATCTGAAAGAAAAAGCAGAACTATGGGAGTAGAAAGCCCATCATGTAGAGCAAGACAGAGATATAAGAGAGTTCTTGCTCTGGAAGAGGGGAGATTGCAGGACGAGTCGGAATGGGTATGCGAAGAAGCTGAAACGGAACTTCATGCAGCAATAAGAATTGATAAAAACTGGTTTCAGGAATAGCTGTTTCTTCAGATTAAAGCTGGGATTTCCAAAGAGACACAGCGAACTGGTATCCCGCTTCCCTAACAGTTTCGAGAAATTGATTTAATTGCCTTAAACCTCCTTCTTTTTGGTTAGTACATTATACTTGCATATGGTCAACACCTATGATTAAATTGATGCTGGCCTGAGAAGCATTAATAGCTGGTTTGTATTGAGAGCCTTTTATTTTCTCAAATTCATAAAAACTATAAGACATGGACTTTAAAGAATAGCTTTGTGCACTGAGCCATAGTACCAGTTCCATCAGTGCTCTGGAATTTATCTCACATTCTATCATTAAAACCTATTAAAAAAGCAAATATTCTTCACAGTATTGCAAGATAGTCCTAGCCCTGGACACCTTTTCTTTCTGGAGGCAAGCATGTCCCATTGCTAAGTCAGTCACAGCTGCTGTAGCATGATGCCAGAGCCAACTCTCTGAAGAGTCAGCTTAGGTGGCTTTCCATCCTGACGTGGTTAAATCATCAGTACAGATAAACCACTTAGAGAAAAGCAGGAGGGGGTTGTGTAGCTATGCCTTGCATGCCTTAGAATTAAAAGAGGTGTGAGAAGAAAAGAGACACAGTGTTGAGGGGAGAGACCTCAGAGGCTTTTGTGGGATATTAGGAAGGCAAAAGTCTCTAGGGTTTGGTAACCTCCTGAGTCCTTTTTTCTTCCAGGAGGAAATTGTCTACCAAGTCCAAGAAATGGAAGTCGATATTTAACTTGGGCCGTTCTGGCTCAGAATCAAAGTCTAAACTGAGTCGAAATGGCAGTGTCTTCGTAAGGGCTCAGAAGCTCTCTGGTAAGAACACACTTTTCAGTTAAATATTTCCCTCTGCAGCTTTCTCCTACAATATTGATAGTGTAGGGCAACCTGTATCCACATGACACCAATACCATTAGACTTGAGATAGTTTAATGGGGTCATGTTTGTTGCCTGCTTTCACGCAGATGTCATTTTCACGTGATGGCAAGAAGGACCCTTTCAGGAGTATATGCCACACAGCTACAGTAAATATTCCATTTTGGTATGTGGTAAACAGGCTCTCATTGCCCGTCTGTGAAGCTTGGGGACTAGGAAATGCTGTGTAGGTTTGGATTGGTCCACTCTTTCAGCCCAGCCAGCCTCTGGCTCCTAATGTTCCTTGCATGGCCCTGGGTGAATGGCTGTCCCTCCAGGCTGACCTTCCACTAAAGGGCATTAAGGGCATGTGTCCAGTGTCTTTATGAAAAAACAAGGCACCAGGAGTTCCTATGCCTCCTGGTTCTCAGCACTTTAAGGGAAGCTATTACTTTTTCAGAATTTACAAGCGAGAAGTTGTCTTTTCTCCTGGCTGTAATCTCAAATTCTAGCCCCTCCTGGCTGCAATCTCTTAAACACTCCACTTCCTAGAAAATCACATGGCAGTGCCAATTTCCAGCGTTCAGAAATGATGACTCAAGTTCTAAAAATCATGAAGTTGACTTAAAAGTAATTACAGTTTTGAAAAGAAAGCATACCCTTTTTTAACCTGAATTCATAAAGAAGTGTTTTGGGTTTCTGTGTCCTAGACAGTTTTATTATCTCCAAGTCAAGAAATTAACTTTTTAAAAAGAAGAAGAAGGGGGAATTTTTTTTTAGATATTCTCATGACTCCACGAGCTGGCGTTTGGAGGATCACTACCAAATACTGCAAGTCTTAAAAATAAAATAGTTAATGTTGGCAACGTTACCTACCACCACATATGAGAGAAGCTGCATTTGGATCAGAAGTGAGTGTGAAGCCAAATGCTGGATCCAGGTCTTTTTGGACCCTTGCCTTTCCCCATGTTTTGCATGTACAGATGGCCTCACATAGGGTGCCCATGGCAAACCTCAAAATATCTTTCCATCCTATTTTGATCACGGGATCACCTCTTCTCACTTTGATAAGGAATACTCTGTCCCAAAATAGTGCTAACCCAAGGATGCCCAGGAATGACTGGAGCCCACTTGATCGTGGGGGCCGAGCCTTGTTCCAAACACAGTGCTGAGTGACAGGAGGCTGTACATTTTCACCAGCAGGACCCACAAATGCGCAACCATGCACAGAGATTTAGGCACTCAAGTAGTGCTTTTGAGAAGCAGTGCTTTAACACTGCCATGTTGTATTTTTGTGTGCTCTCTGCTTACAGCCTAATGTGAGGAAACAGATGAACTTTCTGTTGAAACCCAGCACATGCTTTAACACAGTTTGTGTCCATGCACACAAGTCTGCAAGTCATATAAAACACGAGCTCCACAGCTTGAATTCTGTTCCCCCGGGAAAGCGGAGCCAGTGCTCAAGACATCATGCCATATGAACATAAAAGGTAGCCAGGGCTCCATATAAATGCAAGAAGTAGCTGGAGTTGCTCTTATGCTCCTGTGAAAGCCAGTCCCAGAAGCCTTAATTATATAAACAAATGAAGTCCAACAAGCCTGCTCACTTTCTGCCTTACCTGATTTGTGCAACATTGTAAACACCAAACTTTGCTCCCAGACATTTTCCAGAGCTCCACGGACCCTTTTTGGGCTGCTAGGGAGTAACTTGTCTTCCTTGGCAGCTCCATTCCCCCCATCCCCCTTTTTCAGAGCGGCAACAGCTACACACTTCCAAAACCTCTCCAGAACAGACCTGTAGAGTGTCTGGTGACAAACAGCAGCTTGTTTCTGGACAAGCAAGTCCAGCGAGGATGACCAGGAAAATAGGTTGCTTACTGCCCTCATAAATTTCCCAGAGTGCTTGCTGGAGGCAGGGTATGCTCGTGCCAGCAAAAGAGCCTGCAGCGTAAAAATAACCTAACATTTGCTATCAGGAATGAGAGGGGAGAAGGCATTTATATCAGTTTAGCTAAAAAGTCCCCACAACCAACAGCCTGACTTGATCGGGGAGGGCATAACAGCTTTTGGGATGCTTAACTGCTTCGCAGCGGAGATGGTGTTGACTGGCTGGGTTAAGTATAGCTCTCCACATGTCCGGCAGGTGCAAAGCTGTTGTTAGCGCTAGCAGATCCCCAGCTGTGCGGACAAGTGTTGTGGGTAATAAGCCGTGTGGTGTGGATACGCAGTGGGAATGCTTGGAAATGGAAAATAACTTTGATGTCTGCCTGGCATGCCCGTCTATATGTAGCCTTTGGTCTTTGTGGGCTGAAACCTGCAAAGCCACAGGATCTGAAATTCTGTTTCTAAACCTAATTTTCCACAGAAAAAGCAACTATTCGGCCTGCGAAGAGTATGGACTCGCTGTGTTCCCTGCCAGTGGAAGGTGAGACATCAATAGCCTCTACTGTAAGGGTGAAGGATTGCACCTCAATGGCTTTCCCCTGTGCCTGCACGGATGCAGTAGACTGTTTCTTTGTCTCTGTCACCCTGTTGGGTATCTTTATATTCTCATAGCATGGCTACTGACATGTGCCCCCACCTTTGTGTGCATGCATTTTTAGCCCTGGGTTAAAAACCTGGCTTTTCTGGGTCTTTCATGTTGGTGCGTGCGTCTGAGAGTTACCGCTGTGCTTAGCTGCATCTCTAGTAGCAGTGGGATTGCTTAAATTTCATTCTTGGTTATCCTGGGCACAAAATTCCCATCTATAAGGAAAAGTATAAAGCAGTGAAAAGTGCTTGCGATGAACCAAGAAAGCCCGGAGCCGTGATCTTTGTGGGCAATGCACACTAGTCCTGGACTTGGCTGCATCTGATTGAAAGGGACCTTCAATTCTCAGGGGATTTCCACTGGAGGGTATCCTATCCAGCCCTGCCTGCCCAGTTTGAAGGAGGCCCCAGGGCTTGAGCCCAGAAGATGTTTAGTGCCTGCTGTCCTCATCCCTCTGGGGAAACGTGGGTGTTTGCCAGGGCAAGACCCCTCCCCAGAGGGGGGTTGCTTGCTGGTGCTTTGCTTCCCACTGACTCCTTCGTATCTTCCCTGCTCTAGGGGAGGATGAGAAGAGCAGATTCAAACGGACGGTGACTACTGGAGGGTTTTTTGTCCCAGTGATGAAGATACGTACGGGAGGCACAGGCAGCTCGTATGACCTCAGCAAGGAGAATGAGTGGGAGCGGGATGGATCCGCTGTAGGGGCCAAAGGATGCTCAGAGCTGAGTGAGGAGAAAGGTCCTCCCCGGACACCACAGGCAAAGTCACCCCCTGAGCAGCTGAAGGTCTTCCGGGCAGCAGAGGATGCCGAAAACGAGCAGACTTGCCCCAAAGGCGGCCGCATGTTCTACACCTCTGAAACGGCCACCAGGTCAGGCTTCCCAAGCTCTTTCCCGTGGAGGCCTCCCCTCGTCGCCAGAGGAGAGCTCTAAACATCTCAGAGCCCTTCGCCGTCTCTGTCCCCCTCCGGGTATCCGCAGTCATCAGCACCAACAGCACCCCATGCCGTGTGCCCACCAAGGATAAGCTTTCCCTCTCCAGCCTGGAGGAGCTGTCTTCCCTGGTGGCAGAGAGCACCAGCCCCTCTGCCCTGGAAGCGGGGACCCACACAAGGACAGAGCAGACGTCAGAGCGGAAGGAGAAACAGCTGGGTCCCACCCTGCAGGTGGCAGCATCCAGAGGTACAAATGTGTTAAGGAGGGGGACGTGGAGCCTCTGTCAGGCTACTGGAGGTGCCCTGCAGCTCAGTGGCACAGAGGCTGCTCCAGCCTGCTCTTGTGGCAGGAAAGACACCAAGCTGTGGCAGGGTGGGTGCTGACAGTAGCAGGTCAGGTCGGTTCTTCTTGCAGTAATGAGACAGGGGAGGTGGGTGGCCTCCCAGCGATGTCCTGTTGCGCTGGGAAAGAGCTCTTCAGCTTTGTTAGTTGGCATTGGGTTGAAAGAGCACTGCTTTGCCTCAGGGCACATGTTTTCAGTCACAAGTAGTTACACTCTTCATATGTGTTTCTGATCCAGGCTCTCACCCTGAGGAGATGGTGGCAGCCAGGAAACCTGAGTCCTTAGAAACTCCACAGACAGCAGCAGAAAATCAGAAGTTATGTGGGCAAAGCACCTGCAGAAGCAGCACCAGCAGCCCCCGGCACTCCTCAGAGCAGAGTCCCACCTTGGAGCCAACACCAGCCTCAGAGGTTCATAGGGGACTGCTCCCTGCAGACAAGGCAGAGCAAGGACAGCTGAAGACGAAAGATGTCACTTCAGGAGGCAGCTGTGGCCAGCAGGAGATCGAGACGGCTAAGACAGAAGAAGGGTCACATTCCAGAGATGTGGTAAGCAAGAAGGCATGAGGAAAAAGATGGGGGATAATGTCATGGTGGTGACTGGGAGGTTGTTTAAAAATTTCATTGTGTGTCTGTAGCCATGAAAACTCAGCCTATGACCTCAGCTAAGCAGGGTCAAGAATTGACCATGTATTGATTTCACTCCTGTCCACACCACTGTGTTGGTGATTTACCTTTACACACCTAGCTACTGTCCCCTTTTGGTCTTTTCCCATATCTATACAATTGGAGTCAGTACAATCTGCTCTGAGACTCTCCAGATGTGAGACTGATGGATGTCTGAGCATTTTGACCCATGGTCTCTCAATTCCCCTTCTATTTTTGCTGTCTCATTTATCCTGGACTGCCTGAACAGTCCTTTTTTCTTCCGTTCTCTAAACACTGGGTTTTCTTAGTATTATTTTTGCCTCCTCTGCCTTTCTAGCAGAGATTTTTTTCACCAAGTTTCTTACAGTGATACTCATCTCTGGACAGCTATTTAAAGATCTGTTGGCATAGCTCCTTGAATAGATTATTCATTCCAGTTCGTGTGAGATCTGGGAATGCAGATCCTCTGGCAAGGCCAAGCGAGCCTGAATGGGAAGAGCTGAGAAACGGGTTGAGACATTCCAGCTACTCATTCACCTCACTCTTTCAGTACATCTGTCCAGGCCTCATTTTGGCTGCGTCTCGGATCTTCTCCTCCACAAACACACTTGTTTATAGATGTATTTCCTCCCCTGGATTGGGAGCAGTTTGCATGTGTGTATTCTGTTCCTGTACCCATGAGCATGCTCGTCCAAGAGCCTGTCTATTCGATGAGGGCTGTTTGAGGAAAATGAAGGGTTACTTGTTCATAAGTTGTGACCTGTCAGGTCACGGCATTTCTTATGTTTTCCAGGCTGAGGAGGATCCTGCAAATGCCCTTCTAGAACCACTGTGGCCAGAGATACAGCAGGAACTGAAAATTATTGAACCTGAAGAGGAGCTTTTGCTATTGCCAGCAGCTGACCCCAAGACAGACCTAATTTCCAAATCCTCTTCTTCAGTACAAGCAGATAGTTTTTCCTCTGGTTCAGAACAGAGTCCAACACTGGCTGAGGAGAAATCTGCAAGCAGAACACCCCAGGCAACAGCTCAGGTGCCTTTGTTTGGTGCTACCAGCACAGAACGACAAGACAGCCTCCGCAACTGCCAGTCTGATGTGGCTGCACAGCAGAGCTGTGCTTCAGCCCTACCCAAACTGAGTACTCTTCTGACTGGCACAGACGCTCCAAAGAACCACCACCCCGTGGTGGAGGACAGCGGGAGTGAATGTCTCACTCCTCCACTGGATGGGAATCTTCACAGACAATCAGAATTTAATGAGGTTGCTGCAAGTGATGAATTATCTTGTTCCAAAGGACCACATCCAGAGTCAGGGAGAGAAAAAGATAGCACTTGCCAGATGCAGAGGGAAAAGGATGATCTTCCCAGAGCCCAGACTCAGAGGGAAAAGCCTCAGATAATGACTGCTGATGAAAGGGACACATTCTCCTCCAAGGCGCTGAGTGGAGCTGGAATCCAGGAGCTGAAGGAGGGCAGTGCTGTTAGCAGAACCCATGATGCTGGTGACCAGGATGACGAGGATACCTGGACAGATAATGTGCAGAGCTTAGAACTTGTGGAGCCATGGGAGGATCACCAGTGGGTTACAAGCCCACTACATTCTCCCACCTTTAAGGACATCCAGGAGAAGATGATACAGGAGTTTCAGCCACAGAGCCAGAGAGCAGAAACAGGCCTTCCTCTTAGACCACGGTTCAGTCGCAGCCTCTCTCTGGACAGTAAAGACAGAGTGATGAGTCTGTGGGCCATCCCATTCTCTTTCATAGACGCCACCGACCAGCAGCAGCCATGCACTGACATTGTGCCAGTGACTTGCGAGCTGCCCAAAACACAACCCATCTCGCCCTCTAGCTCGGGCAAAGCTAAGGAAAGCGATAATGGCACGAGGTCTCCAGAAGAACCTTTGAAACCTGAGGAGCTGAGGTACCCCCTCAGCAGAAAGGAAGCACCAGCTGAGAAAGGAGGACCCTCCAGAATCCCTCTTTCAGAGCCAGTGGAAAAGAAAGTGGATGTGAGCAAAGAAAACCCTTGGAACTCAAACCTTGAGCTATCTTCAACATACCAAAATAGCCCAGGCAGTTCTTCACAGGTGAAGAACACAAAGGAGGAGTTATCCATGTCTCAGGACACTGCCCTGGGAGGAGAGGCTGATACCAAGGCATTGTGCTCTGCCACTGAGTCACAACTGAGTCATAAAGGTGAAGAAACACCTCGCAAAGTGAAGACTAGGCCGTCGTCCCTCAACTTGGATTCACTCCTTCCAGCCCCAGATTTCTTCACATTTGAGAGCTTGTCCATGCCCTCTGGGAACCTCCTGTGTGGGCAGAAGGAAGTGAAAACCAGTGATTCTGTCCCATCCCTGCCGACTGCCTGCCCTGCTGCTGGTAAAGGCGTTCCCTGGGGGTCTCACTTCAATGCCCACATGGATCTAGACTTGGATTACCTGGCAGTAGCCCATGCCACCACTGGCCGTCGTAACTCTGCCCCAGTCAGTGTGTCAGCAGTCAGGACTTCCTTCATGATTAAGATGTGCCAGGCTAGAGCGGTGCCCGTGATACCCCCCAAGATTCAGTACACCCAGATCCCCCAGCCCCTGCAGGCTCAGAACGCAGCTCCGCCAGCCGAAAAGAAGGAAACAGAAGCCAAACAGGCCGTCAGGCAGACTCAGCGGGTGGCATGGAGCCACCTGGAGCCCCCCAAGAGCCCGCTGGCAGAGAAGAAAGCCAAAGCAGAGAAAGAAAACAGTGACCCAGCTCAAACGGACTCAGCCTGTCCTTGGCACAGCAGCCTAGGCTCTCCGCTGGAGCCATCTCAGTCCAGCCATCACCCCACTCTAGATGCTCCTGTTCTGCGCCGAAAGCGCACCTCTGAGGGGGAGACAGCTGGAGATAACCCACAGTCCTCAAAGATGGAGAGGCCATCAGGGTTCTCCAAGCCTTCCTACAGATCTAGGCCCGGGAGGCCCCAGAGTCTGATTCTCTTCAGTCCCCCTTTCCCCATTATGGACCACCCCTCCTCTTCAGCAGACTCCAGGGTGTTGTTATCACCCATAAGGAGCCCCACCCAGACCACCCCTTCGAGCCCCATTTGTGGCGATCTGTCTGAGACTTCGCGGACAACGCCGGAGGGGGTGACACTGCGGAACAAAATGACCATCCCCAAGAATGGCCAGAGACTGGAGACCTCTACCAGCTGCTTTTACCAGCCCCAGAGGCGCTCTGTGATTTTGGATGGACGAAGTGTGAGGCAGATCGAATAGCAACTGCCTCTCTTTTCTGTGGTGGATGGGATGGGAGTGTCCAAGACCAATTCTGTTGCCATTTTGCTGTTGTTATAACTATTCTGTGCAAGATGGACCTGAATCCTCTACAGTTTTCTGCAAAGCATTTCGCTATGGAGGGTCCTAGTCATTTTGTCTTGCTTTTCCTTTCCTTTCTCACCCTTTCCTAGTCCCTCACTCTCTGCTTTTTTTTTTTGTAAGCCAGTCCCAGGGAACTTGAATTTCCTCATACTCATTGTCTAACGAGCCTTGTGAAAGTGTAAAATGTGAAATGGAAAAAAAGGAGAAATAAATCTCGGTATAGTTAGAAAATAGGTCTGGGAGGAAACACTGTTCCAAAGCACTGCGGCCCAGATTGCTACAGCATATGCTGAGGAGGTAAGTCCAGATGTTTGGGATCTCCTTCCATTGTTTCCCAGCCACTAGTGAAGGACCATGCCTATCCTTCTCTGTTGTTTGATAGTGCAAATAAACCATGCAGGAGGCTGGGGGTAGCTGAAGAGAAAGGTGAAGCTGGCATGCACAACTCACACAAGGTGTGAGACACCCAGGGTTGCTCCAGAGACAAATGTACAACCTGAAGGCCCTGCCTCCAGCTCTGTCCTTGCATCAAAGGTGTGCTCCTTCCAGCATGTGCAAAGGCTGGAAGGAAAGTAGCTGGACAGGAAATGCCTAGGTGTTCTTTTAATCTTCCAAGTCCTGCTCATGAGTTTTGTTGTCCTCACCTTGTTTTGTTGTGTTGTTTTGTTGTGCCATGCCTTACAAGATTCGTGTGACTGGGGAATACGTGTGTAGTTGGCTGTACAGCGGTAGAGACTTCTCTGGCTGGTCTCAACGGGAGCAAAGATATGGTCATAACAAAGGGCAGTATCAACTGTTTTCATCGTTTCTTAAAGCCAGGTGACACCTCTGTGACTGTCTCCATCTTGCCAACAGCAGAGAAAAGCAAGAGGGTCTGCTGCTCTGCGTGTCCTTGGGCTGCTGCCCTCTTGCACCCTTGCTGACCTACCTTTGACCCTTGGTCTTTCATTGCCACTGTGTGGCATGTCCCCAGGTGCTTCTTCCTCCTTCAAACTGCCTCTCCTCGTGATTTTAAAGTTTCCTTGAGACCGTGGCTGGTTGTCACCTCCCTGCCCCTCTGTGCTTTCACAAGGATTAAGAGGAGGATTTGTGAGACTGCAGAACAGGTCATGAGCAATATCCTGAGAGGGGGGTTTGGAGTGAATTACGCGCTCTCCTGAAGGGCCGTTATCGTTACAGGCAAATTTCATATACGCAACAGCTGCCGTGGGAATAAGCTTCCTTCACAGAGCCTCTAACTCCAAATTAACAGCAGGCTCATCTATTGCCTGGTACGTGACTGTGGGCGACTGCGAAGTCAGGCACAGCCCGTGCTGTCTCTGCAATTCAAACATCACCAGTGACTAGAGGGGAGTCGGGAACGCGGGTGATGCTGCCAGCGCTGAGATTGTCCCTGTCACGGTGCTTGCGGGGGCTGTCATTCAAGGTGTCGGTGGGCCTTCGGATGGGTGTTACGGGCTACAGTTTAAGCAGCAACTGAGCATCTGGTAGGAAGTGCTGTAGCCACCACAATGAGTGTCAGTCAGAATTTCCCAATGGATACATGTGTAGGGCATTTTTCATTAGCAAACGCGACCCAGGAGCTGTTGGTGTGTACTGAATGTGTCAGTGTCATCGTGGCTGGAGGACCCAGAGTCTGTACAGTGCTTTCTCTGCACTCTTTGGTTGCTGAAGAGATGTCCGAGTACTTTTGAGAAGTTCTATCCCCACAAATGCAAGGAATATATCTTCAGTATCCAAAGAGAGTGTGAAATAGCAAGCAGTTTTTTCTCCTTGTCACCAGCTGCAGTCTCTGATCCTCCCCATTGTACTCCTCACTTGTGCATAACACCGCGTAAGAGGGAACGGAACAGAGAACTAAATCCTTGCTGTCAGTTTTGTTGAGGGAGAATATTAAACCAGACAAGAGCCTGGAGTTCTTGTCCAGGTCTGTGTTCTCTCACAGATGTCAGCCTCTGCTTCACCTGGGCAAGCCGTGGACGGCAGGTCCAGAATATGCAGCTTGATGACAATTGCATTATCCTCCTCCCAGACCACAAGGTTCCTGTGCAGCCTCCCATTAAAAGTAGGGAATTGCCAGTCCTCCATGCTCCTCATAGCTAGCACAGCTCTGCTCTGCATTTACGTGCACCCAGGTGACTGGTTTACTGCCTCGTGGGAAAGCTTTTAGCCACCGTGGCTCGGGAATGGCAAATGACTTGGGAAGGTGTGATACGAGGTACTGTGATAAGGCTTTATAGAAAGAAAAAGTGGTGGAAATGAAGCCCAGGGTTTTTTTGGCATCAACAAAATAGTTTACTTTGTGCAGGAATTTATATTCTGTCAGTTCCTAGAAGTTTTGACTGCCAAGGCATCTGGAATGGAGCCAGAGAAACTCACAAAGTAATGTATCAAAAGGAAAAGAAAATGTGATGAAACCTTGGCACCTGAAAACCATTCTGGTTTTGGTTTTTGTTTTATTTTTTCCTCTCCTTATTCTCATATAAGCTGGTCTGTGAACAAGAAATGAGGTCTGGCAACTTGTATATAATGCAGTGTCTCAACTCCTAACCGCGTTGCAGTAAGCAATAGCGCTTTGGGCATAAGTGGTAAAACTCCTGCAAGAGAAAATTGTTAGAAATATTTACTTAATATTACAGACCAGCCTCAACTAAAATCTGTATCCAGACTACACTTTTTGAAGGTGTTTCAGAGTTTGGACTCAGCTCCAGGACCTGGATTTTAATTAAGCAGAGGTGCTGTAATGACATCTCTATTTTGTCGTTTGATCCCATCTCTATCTCCAGTTTCATCTCCAGACTCCAGCTGCCGTATCAAACTTCCAAGTGAGCTTACCACAGGCCCATCACTCTGTGCTCACAGGTGGCCTTGTGTCACGAGATCAAGCCCCAGGTCCTGCAGAGCTGAGTACTTGCTTAGTTGCAAGGTGCACCATTGCACAGGTGGCACCATTCCCAACTCCAGGCTCTGACTTCTGCAGAGTTTGTAATGCTTGATGATGGATCCTTGGTGATACTGGTAGTTGCAGTCAGCTTCAAGGACCGGAGCTTGTTGGTTGAACAGAGCCGTGAGACGAAAGCCATCTCCCATCGAATGGTGCTGACCGTGTGGTTGGAACTTCCTGCGACCAGCTTTGCTAAGCCATTCCTGAGGTCAGCTTCAGCGTCAGACCCGATGTCGTCTTTGCTTCAGAGCCCTTAGGTTGTCCTGGGCCACCCTGCAGCACCAGGCTGAAGCTGGGACTGGAAGCTCTTCTGAAGTTCAGGGCCTTGCAGTGGTACATTGGGGTGCCAAACTCCTGCCCTCCAGCACAACCCTGCAACACTAGAGACTCTAAGAAAGGAGTTCGGTGGTTTTTTACTTGGGGTATTTTTTTTTATGTTGTTTTTGGGTTTTTTTTCACTTATTTGTTTGGTTGGTGTTTTGCTGTGAAGCATTATGGGGAGGGATAGATCAGATTTATGGGAGATGGATCTGGCCCAGAATTTGAAGTTTTGTGTACGGGAGAATTAAGTCAGTTGTTCTTGGCATTATGGAAAGGACCTTCCTAAAAAGACTGTCACATCGTTTGCAGCTCTACATGGATCATTTGAGGGACCCTGCAGCACATTTTCGTTCTCCTGAGACTTTGAGGAGGGTAAAGGCTATTCCCAAGTTTGCAGATGGCCCCAGTCTCAGTCATGACGGGGTGTCACCAGGATGTGTTTCTTGTGGACTCGGGAGACAAGTGACAGAATTTCACTTATTCTTCCCATGTAGTCAGCGGGTTTGTGCAGCTTCTGTTAAGTGTTGTTCAGAGTGAAACCGTTGGGCTGGCAACGATGAGAATCCCCTGATGGAAAGGAGGTACATGTATAATGTTAGTTCATGTGGGAGCTGCCTTGTTGGGAGGGAGAGTAAGCAGAAATAAGGATTGTATTTTACCTTATAATCCACATTCCTCTGCACTGTCCGTCCCCTGCTATCACTTCAGAAAGACTGAAGCACTTCTTTTTTCACCTTTAGAGCTTCAGAGGAACTTAGGTCTGCATTAGAGAGCATCCCGAAAGCCCTGCAACATTTTCCCTCATCCAGAGTCAAAATGGTGCAATCAAAGTCTTGTTTCTTTCTTTATGAATCCTGAAATGCCTGTAGTGGTGAATATTGTGTTAAATTTATATATATATATATATATATAAAGAACATTCTATATAAATATATTAAAATGGAAATGTAATTAAAATGAAGGAATTACCTGCATAGAATCCTGCACGTCTGTGAAACTTGGGCTGATGCATGGAACTATTTCCTGCTGCAACTTACGTAGCAGTGAGGGTGTGCGATCAACTGGCTTTTTGTCCACAGAGGAGAAACTAATTAGTTCTGGCTAATCTGTGGTGAGCAAAAGGCCTGAATCTGCCTTCCTGAGCAGGACCTTGGCCTGGGAGAGGAGGGACCAGATCAGAGGAGACAGGAGTCCAATGGCTGATTTAGCTTTCCACCACAATCTTCTCCCCAGTAGTTGAAAATGCAAAAAATCTAATGGAGCATATGTCACCTCTCAGGCGTGCCCAGGTTTTGCAGTTGTCCCTTTTGCTTCTCTCCACCTCTAGAAAAGAAATAATCTCTAGGGGTGGGGGAGAAGCTGTAGCTGTTCCCTATCTGGTTTAGCTTTTACTTGCTCCTAATTGATGTAAAGGCTTGGTGATAACTAATTTTGCTCCAAGCAAGGATTGGAAAGCTTACTGCTGAGTTCAAGTGGAGATAGAGCAGGACTTTAACGGCCCTGGAAAGGAAGGATGGCAGGAGGCAAGAGCTTCCTGAGGGCTCCATGCAGCAGCCCAGACCTTAGATCTTGTTCTTGCAGGCACTGGTCCCCTTTGAAATGTTATTTGCTGCCAGGTCAAGGGAAGGGCTGG